ATAGTATAATATGAAAGAGAGTAACTGGGGAAAGCCTTTTTAATAGTGAATGATCAGACAGAAGGCCTGTCTAAAGAGAAACTGGTACTTGAGCTGAGACTGAAGGGTGAAATTGAGTCAATAAGCGACCCTTGGAATATCTTAATATGCTCCCCAAAGTACGAAAGGTTCAGATTCTCCTAAAGCAGTACCAGCATTATCAGCTATACAGAAATGGTATCATGGATGACAGAGATTCATAGAGGAAAAGAAAACATTTATTGAATGTCATGTGCCAGGTAAATATGCATGCTTGTCATACCCTCTTGCTATCTGAAGTTTACAAGAACAACCTGGCTGCTGTTCACTGAAAAAAGTGCCCAAGACTGAGTAAAATCTACCGACGGTCAATTTTAGGTCATAGGTAATAGGTTATGATTAACAGATCTTTTTTCTAATTTAAAATATTCTGATAAAAATATCCTGTTCCATCCATCATGACATCATATATTAGATCATGTGTTCCCATTTATAGTTCAGGATACATAATCTACTGATAAAACATTATTCAGTTCTACATTTAAACTAAGCAGTAACACGTACAACATACTATTACACATTTATGTGCTAACTCTTAAGTCTATATAAACAGTGACAAACTTCATAGACAATAAAAATTTCCCATAAATAAACAAAGCTATGATGTCTATAAAATTTGCCTTAAATCTATCTGTAGATGAACAATCAGCTCTTAATGATTAACAGTAAATTATATACTAGATATTGTTAACCTATACTGAATTATTATGTGTACTGGAAAACAATATTTGAGATATGGTTTAAGTGACAGAATAAAGAAATAAAGAGCTAAAGCTGAGGCTGAGCCCTGAATTAATCTGTGCTTTTTGGGAAGTAGTCAAAAGATCACCCATAGCCCCTATATTATATAGGCTCGTTAATGACTTCCTTCCTATGTTTAAACTTATTGTTATTACTGCAATATGGTTTTTGTTAATTCAGTTTTTATAATTCTTTTCTAATAAAAAAGAGGAGACTAATGGGAAATGGAAGAGAAGTGAGACAACAGATTCCCCAGGGTTTTACTGGAAAGAGTTTGTTACTCTAGAAAGGCAAAGAAACATTTCTTGGACATACTGATACTGCTGTTTTATTTGCAATGTATTTTCATCCAGGAATCATTCAAGGTCTCTTAGAAACCTACTAACAGAGCTAGCAGATATTTTTAGATGATCTAGTAGAAATCTAGCTTTACAGGCTACTTGTCTGTACTTGTATTTTACCTTAAAGAAGTCCTATTTTTTTAATATATATAAAGTAAAAGAAAATAAATTCACTCAGATCCAGGACTCAGAGTTTCAGAGATTTGAGAACTTATTTCCCCAAAAAATGATTTTAGGGGCCAACTGTGGTGGCTCATGCCTGTAATCCCAGGATTTTGAGAGGCCAAGGCTAGCAGATCACCTGAGGTCGGGAGTTCGAGACCAGTCTGACCAAAATGGAGAAACCTTGTCTCTACTAAAAATACAAAATTAGCCGCCAGGTGTGGTGGTGGGTGCCTATAATCCCAGCTACCTGGGAGGTTGAGGCAGGAGAACTGCTTGAACCCAGGAGGCGGAGGTTGTGGTGAGCCAAGATCACGCCCAAGAACCCCAGCGGGGGAAAAAAAAGGGAAACCCTGTTTCAAAAAAAAAAAAAAAAAGATTTTAGAGAAGGTCTCCTGACCACCTCTCTCCGAAAAAAGACTGGGACAAGAGGAGTTTTGAGAAGATTTTAAGTAACAGACATTACCTGATAAAAATTTAATAACACGTGTCTGTGAAGCAAAATACATCTGCTACCTTTATTTTATTAACATAATTAGTATTCCTAATAGAAAACAGAACTGACATCAATTTAGACTTTTTTTTTTACTTTAGAGTAGGTATATCACATTCAGTATTTTTAGTTTTCTCACCTATAAAATATGATGTGATAATTACGATTTTTATCAACTCAGTCTAAAGTAGCTCAGAAAAGTCATTATGTAAATACCAGAAACTATATACCATTTATAAATTACTGTGTTATACAACTATATTACTCTGTATATTATACTGTATTTTGTTCTTTATATTTACAGCCATTACAACCTCCTCACAACTTCTGTAGGAATTAAGAACACCTGAAAAACAAGAATAGATGACATGCAAGAACAATAGTGAAAAATGTTGCCTTGAGTAAAATAAAACAGAAAAATTTTCATGTAAATTTCCAAACATAACTAACATGTATGTTAACGAATCTATTCACTAAGAATTCAGGCAAGATCTTTCATAATTACAGATGTAATCATTGGTAACCCAGCAATGACTACTTCGTAGTCAAGTGGAAGAGGTGGAAAGCTGATCACTTTTGCAGTATGGATCATTCTGTAGTTCTTTAAAATCCTTCGTGTTATCATGAGAGAACCGCTAGTTGAAAGAGGAATCATTTCATGATTTTTCAACACCAGATGTATCCCCTTTCAAAAATTCTAAAGTGTTCTCCTAAGTCTACAGCAACTGTATTTAGTGTTCATTTCAGCGTGCTACATTCAGACAGCTACCTAAACCAGGGCTGGTTTGTTTTTCCCTTCAGCTACTACCTGAAGTATTATTTCCTTACCCACTGGATTCTGACCTTCAAGGCCCCTATTGTTTTCCAAAGTAGTATTTAGAATTGTTTAAAACTTTAGGGATTCGCCAGATATAAGCCAGGGTAGGTTTGTGTCAACAAAACTAAACAAGTTCAGTTCAGACATGAAAGTGATTGTAAAGAATCAATTACGACTTAATACACTTTGTTAGTAACAGAGAACACTTAAAAAAATAACACAAGCATTTTCATATAGTATATGAATCTAGGGAAACCATTCTTTTGCTATAAATCAAAGTTAAAAGGATTCATGATAAAATACTTAAAACTGTATAGGTTTGTAAGATGCTAATGTCTTTCTCGAAGTTTTCCAGTTTTATTTTGTATCTTTTACAGAAGTCTTTATAAACAAAACATATTACAAGCTGGGCACAGTGGCTCACACCTGTAATCCCAGCACTTTCGGAGGCCAAGGTGGGCTGATCACTTGAGATTAGGAGTTCAAGGCCAGCCTGATCAACAAGATGAAACTCCGTCTCTACTAAAATTTACAAAAATTAACTGGGTGTGGTGGCACACGCCTGTAACCCTAGCTACTCAGAGGCTGAGGTGAGAGAATCACTTGAACCCAGGAGGCGGAGGTTGCAGTGAGCCAAGATCGTGCCATTGCACTCCAGCCTGGGTGCCAGAGCAAAACTCTCGAAGAAAAAAAAAAAAAAAAAGAATATAAAAGCAGATTATCAGGAATATAAAGTGAAAATATGTAATTTTTGTACTGTTTCTCTCATTTCAAATCAATTAATCTGAACTCAATTAGATATATAGATACAGCAAGAAGAATCAAGTCAGTTTTTTGTTAATTTATTTGAGAGAGAAAAAGACTGTATTCTGTAGCCATAGATTCTGTAAAATTCTGATAATATAAATTATCTAATATGGAAATTTTCAGGTGGAGTTAAAACCCAATTTCCAATAGAACACAAAAATGTAGATGAACTATTTCACTTGCTAACAAAGAAATAACATAGACAGATATGAATAATATAATAGAAATTTTCTAAGTCCATTTGATCATGAATTTCAACGTATTAATCTGTAAGTATATATAGAAAGACTGTGATTAAAGTTCAACTGACTCACTGAAACATAAACAATCTAAGAAGAAAAGAAACTAGAACCATAAGAAAACACTTCCCTTTATTCTGCTCCCAAAGAGGATACATACAGTACAATGATTCAGTATACTACTACTGAAACACTTAATTATTATTATTTATAAAAGAGAATTTAAAAGACTATTTGCATAAAAATAGAAATCAGGCTGGGTGTCATGGCTCATGCCTGTAATCCTAGCTCTTTGGGAGGCCGAGGTGGGTGGATTACTTGAGGCCAGGAGTTAGAGACCAGCCTGGCCAACATGGTGAAATTTTGTCTCTAATAAAAATACAAAAATTAGCTGGGCATGGTGGTATGCACCTGTAGTCCCAGCTATTCAGGAGGTTAAGGCAGGAGAATCATTTGAATCCTGGAGATGGAGGTTGGAGTGAGCCAAGATTGTGCCATTGCACTCCAGCCTGGGTGACAGAGTGAGACTCTATCTCACCAAAAAAAAAAAAAGAAAAAAATCAAGGATTTCAACTTTTTGTTAAATCTGAATTTTTTTTTTTTGGTAAGCAATTTGACATATTAAAAACCCTTTTTTCATTCACCATGCTTATATTATGTTATTAATATGAACATGTCCACTAAAATCTTGCTCTATGAAATTTAAAAAGAATTTGTATTCATTTTCTGATGTAGACACTGTGACTTGTTTCTAAGGCAGACATGCAGAGTAAATTATGATGCCTACGTTTTTTTTTCTACCATAGCAATTTTCCTTGTTTCACTACTTGAGCTAATGTCATCTTGTTCCTGCCTGGTTGTGGTGCTGGAATGTGGACAGTGGATGAGGCAACGTGAAGTGACTTAGTACTACCAACTATGAATGAAAGTAAAGCTGTCTAGCTAATGTAAAAATGCCCTTTAGCTCAATTATAAGACTATCAGAAAACTGGTATGCAGAGAGATTCTAAAGCCATAACATTTCAGAAGATGAAATACAGTTGGCATCATAAATTAAAGATTTAAAGAAAAAAACAGTTAAGAGTTACTAAAATTCTACCTGCAACCCTTAAAAGAAATTTGAAATGTGCTTAACTTAGGATTATTCAAACATTTAGAAAAAATATTGTACATATGATATCAGAAAAACTGCAGTGTCAAAAGCCATATTTAAATTAAATATGCTACTACAGGGAAACGACATTCGTCATAATTCCATCTTAACATTTGTGTCATGGAAGAACACATATAAATGACAAAACATAAGGATGAAGACTTCTTACCCCATATTTACATTGGCGGGAGGTTGCTCCATACTGGAAACGACATTGCTCATCAGCATCATACACCTGACCTGGGGCCACAGCTGGATAAAGAAAGTCACGCTTGGGAGGCTCATTATCAAGGCAAGTACCACGGCCTGAACTGTTCAACATAAAGGATCAAAGGAAATTAGGTACTCTATGGACTATTTCAGTCACAATTATGAAACCATGTGTTGAGCTTTGTTTTAATAACTTGATGCATGAAAAACAATACATTCTCCTAATACACAATCACATGGCAGGACAGAATAGCTTTACTGAAACCTGAATAAGAGCTCCAAATAATTTATTTCAGCACCAGGACACAATAAAATCATTTCCAACAACAATCTGAAAATGTCATGTTGGCCTTGATTTTAACTAATTTCTCAAGGAATCAAAAGAGAATTTCACATTGCTCTAAGCTTCTTGTTTGTTTTCATTGAAAATATAACCACATCTGGTAGTAGAATTAAAAACATGAAATGCAGAAAAATTTTTTAAAGTAATTATGGTTATAATCCTTAAAGAGCTAATTTATATAGTTCCACCTTGGGCAGAACAATAGATGTTGTGTTAAGACATGTCCATAGGTTCTCCAAATATTTCACTAATAAGTGGGCTGAATGACAGATGAGGCCAAGGACCAAAGTTTTCCTCTCAAGTATATTAGAAGTGTTTAGTCTCTCAAAATTTCATATTTCATCTAGGATCATCAGAATTGGAAAAGAGAATATTCTCTTCTTAGTATAATTTCTGCGTTTCAAGCTATGTCTGCACTCAAACATAATATTTTAATTCAGTGGAACAAATAACATAAAGGTCGCCAAAACCCAGACAGAATACCTTAGTTTAAAAAGCTTTAAACTTTGCTAAATCTAATTGTTCATTTTTATTTAGTCAGTGTGTATAAAATAGGACAGATGCTTTTTTACTTTCATTTCACATATGAGTGAGTTAGAATTTTTAAAGAATTCCTATGCCAACATTTAAAAATTTTTTCCAACATTCCTGTCCATTGTGCCAGCACTTGTGTGTTTTTTTTTCCCAAATCTTTTCCATCCACTTTGCCAAAGGAAAATAATTTCACAAGTAGAAGTTCCTCAACTGTTATTTAGGACAGTACAATTTTTCATTTATAGATAACTAAGAAAGAACTATGCATTGCCATGAGTTTCCTTTTCAGTTAGAAGTTTCTCATATTCTTAACATGTCAAAATCAATTTGTTATATAAAAAGGTATTTCACACACAACAGCAAATTAATACTTTTTAAAAACTGAACCATACTATTTCTAAGGTGATTAGAGTCAAAGACCAAAGGGACTGAATACTGTCTTCTTTATATCCTTCCCCTTTCTTTCATGCCCTCCTGACTAATTTTTCAATCAATAAGAAATATTTAGATGGAATATTAAGTATGGTACTAACATAGATGAATTTGACCATTGGCCTCTACAATAATTTCAATTGTCACTGCTCAAGGTGTCTAACTAACAAAGAACAACCTTTTTTCACTCAGCTATCCAGTTTTCATAATGGAACACTTTTTAATTTCCTTTTTATTATACTTTTAGAAGTTGACATGTACCTCAGCAAGAAAAATAACTTCTAGATGAATTTTTTAAATAGAAAACTTTTCTTTTGATTTTATTAAGTAAAATATCTTTAATCTATAAGGATATGCAAACTTTAGGCAAAGGCAATGCTACTAGCAAATTTTAAATTATATATTAAGGTTAATGACAAAGAGGTCATATTTGAATAACACAATTAAAAAAAGAATCATTATGATAATATAATATTGGCGAGATAAATGAATTAGTTTCATTCCCCAATTTTCTTCTAAAATATCCTTTTCATTTCTATCAACAATAAAATTATAAATGTCTTTATGAAAGGAATTAAATATGTAATAAAAATAAAATAATGAATACTACTATAAATCTTTTTCATACAAAATATTTATTTTAAATTGTGTACTGAAGTAGGTATCCAATAGGCAAAAAATATTTACAGCATAATCAAAAAAGTGTAGGATATATTCACCTAAGTGACACTAAGTCAGACTATATTTAAAATGGTTATAATTACTTTTAGTAATACATAAAATTAACCCAGAATCAGAGGAGGAGCTATGTGGACCCCAAAGAAGAGTTTAAGAATAGATGCCCCGAGGAAAAAATTCTTTTCTGATGGCAAATTGGAAAATGACTTAACCCAGAAGGAAGCAAGAATAATTGCTTCATTTAAAACTATTGTTTCAATATATTAATCTTAGTGGTCTTCTAATCATGGTTCAGGTTCTTTAAAAAATACCAAACCAGAGGACCACTGCTGTGGCCTTCATACCACCAAGAATGCCATGAACTTGCAGGCACCTGTGGCCAAAACTCTTCTTAGAAAGTTTATCCCAGAAGTGTATTTTTATTTCAGTTCTTTGGAAGCACCTATTGCCTTGTATTAATGTGGTCTAGACAAGTCTTGTTCTCCATTTCCAGTATATTTTTACAGAAGAATAAAACACCATATGAAATAAAATATAAAGAAAAACCATATGGATCTTTAAAAATGAACCTGTATTTAGAAACATGGAATAAACAAAGGACTTTTGAAATGGATTTGGCTGTATTTGTACAAATTAGCAAGGCTTACAAGTCAAGGGTCTTCCAGTAAAACAAATGTGGGAATATATCTGCAAGGTGGATTTAAATTGTTCGTACATTTCTACACGTTTGTACATATGTAGTACATTTTCCTTCTCGTAACCATATCTGGTATATACAGTAAAACCTTTATTTAAATATTTGAGGGATGGGATATTTTTCCTGTTTTAATTCTTTGTTTTGTTTTGATTTAAGATGGGGTCTTGCTTTGCCACCCAGGCTGGAGTGAAGTGGCATGATCACAGCTAACTGCAGCCTTGAACTACTAGGCTCAAGAGATCCTCCCACCTCAGTCTCCCGAGTAGCCGGTACCAGAGGCATGTGGCATCATGCCTGGCTAATTTTTGTATCTTTTGTAAATAGGGAGTCTTACCATCTTGCCCAAGCTGGTCTAGAACTCCTGGTCTCAAGAGTTCCTCTTGTCTTAGACTCCCAAAGTTCTGGCATGAACCACTGCATCCAGCCTATTATTTGCTAACTAAGGGTTAAGCAAGAAAAATGCTTTTTGCATTATGTTAACTAAAATTTTCTGCTACTTTCCTGCTTTGTTCAAGGAATTAAAGTCAAGTAATTAAGATAATTATTAGTTACTAATTAATTAGTAAGATCACAATTATTAGTTACTAATTAATTATTACAATAATAATTCTGGATTTTTCAGTCATCAATTACCATTATGAAATATTACAGATATAGGTACAGAGGTAGAAGAAATAGAGGTGAGCGACGTATATTTAACCCTGGGAGTGCTTTTCCTTATTTTTTTTTTCCTATGAAAATTCTCAAGTGCTTAATTCCAGTCATATCCCTCATTTCTCCCCACCCTCAGAGGTAACTACTAATCTGACTTTTTATAATAATAATTTCATTGCTTTGCTTAATAATCTTACTGTCTAATTATTCATTTGCCTGTTTTGGGACCCTATATAAAAGTAGTCATACTGTGGGCATTTTTTTGTGATTTTATTCTTTTTCTCAATATTGTTAATATGAGATACTTCTATGTTGATGTGTGTAAATGTAATTGTAGCCTGTGTATTTTTATTGTTCTTTAATAGTCCATTTATGAGTATGTCACAATTATTTATAATTCCTCTACTAATGAACATCTGGATTATTTCCAATTTCTAAGAATTGAAAATTATGCTGATATGAACACTTTTTGTATGGCTCCTGGTAAAAATATGTAAATCTGTTAGGTTGGTGCAAAAGTAATTTTCGCTTTGCAATGACTTTAATGGTAAAAACTGCGATTACTTTGCACCAACCTAATATTTCCTTTCATAAAATATTAGATATAAGTTGTTGTCTTATATTTTGTAATTATCTCATTTAAAAAAATAAAATTTATGGGAAATTTTTATTTAATCTAGTGATCTAGTTAACTGAGATGTAACTATACAATTCTTACAATGTCTAATGTTACTTATGCTACTATCAAAATTATACAGGCACTGTAGTGATATATACAAATCTTCTCATCAAATAATAATTTTAAACATAGATGGTTTGTACATTGGTGTCATATGCGAATTTTTCCACTCAGAAAACATGAACCTCATTCATTATTAAATTAAATGTAGAATAGTGTTAGTCTCCATCTGAGATTTAATTACAACTTATTATTAAACATATACTTGTCAGAGCAAAACTGTATAAGTAAAAAGTACATCTGTGATTATTTTCTTAGCAGCATATAATCACAACTAAAAACACAAATCCTAGTTAATAGCTACAGCAACACAGATCATTATTGAATTCCTAGACTCTATTTTTGTTTATGCTTCTAAGATTAAGCAAAAAAATGCATTAGTTTTAGAATATACTTCTTCCTTGATTACAAAATTCATAGTAAATCAGAGTATATTTACATTTTCCAAAATGTTTGCAGCGTGATGAGAAAGTCTTATTTTATAAATTCTATTTCTAATTTAGAGAGATCTTATTTACATAGTCCAAAAAATTAGCCTTGAATATATGAATATGAGTTAAAGTTCAGTCATCAGCAAAAATTTACAGATCCTTATGTAAAATATACACTCCTGGCTTTGTTTCCAGAACACATTAAGATATATTCCTAATTGTGATGTTAGATGTATTTTCACTAAAACAGTTATACCATAAAATATAGACTTTTAGTCTTCAATACAGTGGGTCAATCTGAAAAATAAATCTTTCTATATAACCCTGTACATATCTTAACAATCTCTTAACAACAACAACAAAAAGTTAACACTTAATGCCACCTCCTATTTTTATTTTACTAAGTTGTGCTGATTCACATAAATTAAGCAAAAATGAACTGGGTTGATATCATCTATAGCAAGTCAACTGTCTTACGTAGTATATTCTCATAAACTGTCAGTTTTCTCAGTGAAGCTAACAATGTACTGCCTTCTAAGGCAAATCTTTTTCTCTCACCCTTGATATAACTGAACTTGAAGCTTTCAAGACAAAAGTACTGTATTGAGAGTGGTTTACTCTTTTTACCCTATATATAATTATGACTTATTAGAGTTATTTATGGTTAGAGCAAGATTCCCCAAATGTAACAGATAAACAGAAGGAGGAGAAACCTGTTTTGCCAAGCTCTTTCTTGGATTCTACATTTACATTTTTTTTAAGAAAAGGTCCCAACTATAAAGATTGTTTTCTATATAACAGCCTGATGTTGACCTTTGAGGGTCATTGCTAGAGAGGAAATGTGAGTGCTTTGGTCAGCTTGCTCATCTTGTATCACTTCTCTTGCAGCTCTACAGTCACCTTTCTTCCTAGGTCAACTCTGACTATAACATTGCTTCTCTTAATATGTTCAGCTTCCATCCTTTCTGTGAAAATGTCTCCTTTGTATTGAATTTGGAACTGTAGGAAATTTTGCTATGGATCTTTGACAGTTCAAACAGGTTAACAGACTTTAATTTTATAGAGCAAGAGTTGGTTCACAAATCATAATAATTTTTGAAAACTATATGTAATTATTTTGTACTATTGCTAAGTGGTGGAAAATGTATGAAAAACTGACTTAATTACTTCTGGCTGTCTTCCACTGCCTGGTAAATTAGCCCATAGTCATCAATGAGTCTGAGCCATAATACCAGGTTCACCTTTCTCTATATTCTAAATAAATAAATAAATAAGTCCCGCAGGCAGATAGGAAAGACACTACCTGCAAAGCCGTCGCCGGAAAACATCAGAAGCAGGCATAACACGTCCATTTTAACGGAAATTGGTTCTTTATTATTTAATCAGGACGGCTTCTGGGCGATTCATGAACCACTTATTGAATCACCGAGTTTAAGAAATCTGAAAAAAAATATTGGGAGTTGGTAAACACCATCTCCTGATTGATCAACAGCACCTAGTGTTTTAGAATGACACGAGAGACTTTGTATTCTATTGGCATTTAAAGGCCATGGAATCATTTTCAGTTGAACAGTGAATAGTGAATCTCTATAAATCATAGAAAGCTCATTGTTAAAATCCACCATCATCTTTGGCCTATACAGCCACTAAGTGGAGACAGGTATGCGTTTTGTTGGCTGGGCTGCAGTTCCTAAACAATTCATCTTTCAAGATTTCTTTTTCTTGAGAAGAGAAGCTAAAATAAAATGTTATGAGCCTTTTCGAGCCAACTATAAAACATAAATGTAACCTCAATCCCTGATCAAAATAGCACTAGATTTTTAAAAATATCACACATAGCTGTTAAAGCAATTAAGTTCACTGCATTAATAAAAAGAAACAAAGAAATTCAAGAAAGTTACTGTTATGTCTTTGTGCTCTGGTGAACTAACCTTTTTAAAGAGCCTTGTGTTTAAAAATCCTTTATTGCTTGGTCAGATTATAATTAGATTTGTTTAGTTTATTATTAAAGAGGGGGGAAAGCCAAGTTTTCCCCAAGTCTCTACCCATTGTGCTTCACATCTATCTTTCATTACTAGTTTTAACTTTGTGAACATTCCCATGAGGGGAAATATTTTTATAAAATACAGGATAAATAAGCCCATTAGAACTCTGTCAACACTAACGCTTACACATACAAAATGTGAAGAGGCAATAAGGCTTAAATAATGTTTTGTGGATCAATTCATTTAATTAATTCATTGGAACACTTTATTGAAACTAGTAATATTTTTATGTCCCTCATGAAACCAGTGGTGATTTTTAAACTGTATTTTACCAGCAATTTAGGGATTCTCTTTTGGAGTGTCTTAGTCTCAATACAGTTTCAAGTAGACAAGGTCAGGAGATCAGAACAGGTCTTTGTATTTAGCATACAGACATGGTACTAGCAAATGAGCTGTGCAATATAGCCAATGAGACAGAAACAAGATAGAGGAGAAAATGGTACCAAAAAAAAGAAGACATCAACAACAAGGGCAACCATCAGAAATGCACAAGAATCCTGAGTATGTTATACAGTTTGTCTTTCTGGTGATGAACAGTAAGACTCCATTATAAAAACATGAGCCAAGTCAAGGGAGAAATTCCAGATCTGACTTGATGTCTAGGGAGAGCAGACCATCAAAAATGTTTAAAATTTAGGTAAATGATCTCATTAAAACCATCTTAGAAAATGATATTGCTAGTGCTTTGTATTAAGAACTACCAAAAGATACACAAATGCTCTGTGGTCTACCGTTATAGCACCTCAATCAGTTTCACCATAGGCAAGTATAATCTTATAATTCTCTGTTACTAAGATTAAAAATTATTAGGTTATAATATGGTTATCAGAAGAACTATCTTCTGAAATAAATTTCAAATTCCTTCAACTTTATTATTACATTAATTAATTTAAAAGAGCCTATTTTAAACATTTATCTTTTTTCTTTTTTTTAGTAAACCATTGTGCTAGGTAATTTAAAATCTCTTGTTTGTGACCTTTTAAAAATATCTAATCGCAGTTTTCAAAACATATGCTTTGCTCTGGCTATTAGTAGATATAAAGGACATTTTAATAAATAATGTTACCCTATGTAACCTGTTTGAATTTTTTAAATTTCACAATATAATCCTGTTAATATGAACTTTGAACACAGCCAATTTTTAAGAATAATTTCCATTGCTGGCCTGTACTTTATGTATGTATACCTCACTTTTTCACAGAATATTTAATTTCTCCACCCCAGGGCAAAAAAAATAGCACAAAACAGTTAAAAATAAGGGTAGAGCAATAAAGTACAGAAATCTTGATATTATTTAAAATAATATTTACCATTTAAAGAATGTTATGTGTTTTATATATAATATAGCATGATGCATAATTACATATATAATACTTGATGACATAAACAGTATGACTTAAATTCATTTAACAACTTAGGACACTGAAGATTAGAAAAGTTAAGGAACACCCCCAAGGTCACACAATTTTAAAGTGAGACCCAAGTATATCAGTTTCCAAAGTACAGTCATGAAGCCCTATGCAAGTGAGATGTGGAAGAACATCTAATTTCCTTAACATAGTTATACCCAAGCTAATTTATATTCCTCACATTTAAATAACCAGACTCTTGGAATATACATTAAAGACCAAAAAGTTTTCAAACTGTAGAAAAATCAATCACTTAATACATTTTCAAAAACAAATATTTTTCTCAAAGTGTTCATTTCCTTGGTGTTTGTTTTTTTGTTGTTGTTGTTTGTTACTATTAGATACTTTGGCTCTCCTATAGAACTCATTTTTTTCACTAACAAAATAAAATATGTAATTGCTGAACTTAAGTTTGGCGTATGTGCTATTAAATCATGTAAATCTAAATGCTTTCTGAAATTGTCTCCCATTTATTGAACAATTTTAACACTCACACCATCAGTCCCACTTATATCCTTGCTCCACTTCCTCTATTCTATAAAAGTTCTATATAAAGAAAAAAATGGCCACAATGATATATTAAAGTATTTAGGAAACAGTTGAAACATCACTATGCCCATAAAATTACTCATTATGCAAAGTTGAAAGCACTATATATATTAGGCTTCTACCAACTGCTTACTTCTGGAGCAATTCATCATCACTCTCCAGAGACTACTTACTCTAGAAAGCTGGTGATGTAGTCTCGACTGCACGCAGACCAGGAAAAAGGATTGGTATTCGCAGTAATGTGAGCTGCCATAAGTTTTGCTGCTTCATGACCTTTTGTCCCACAAGAATTTCCAATTCCATCATGGTTCATACCAAAACTGTTTTAATGAGGAAGAAACACAGAATAAATAAATAAGAAAAAAAAAAAAAAACCAACACATCCTTTGTTTCCTTATTTGGCCATTTATTAGCTTTATCAACATACACCTTCCATCAGGATAGGCCAGATCTTCTAAAGAAATTTAGGATTAAAATTAAAGAGAAATAACTCAGTGATACAATACATATCTAAATCTCTTTAAATTTAATCACATACTCTCACCTGTTATCTCATGTTTCAATTTCTCTTTGAGCTGAATGCATTAGATATTAATTCTTACTTTATAAGTGAGAAAACAGATTTAGCAAAGATAAACAACCTGTTAAAGATTACACCATTTGTAAGTGTTGGAATTGTTAGCAGAACCTGCCTTTTAACTTGTTAGTGTTCATCCTACCTCACTATGCTGAATCCAAAAGAGAATTATAAGAAGATACTACGATCAGTTGAGTTTTAGGTTATAGGCCAAATACAGAAGTGATTTCTCTTATTAATATTGATAAGAATTTAACACACATATAATTCGTGGTTGTGTTTATGTGTGTTTCAAAATACCTTTTGAAAACCAGCGATATATTTAAGAATTACGGTTTCTCTTTATCATGGCCTCTTTCATTTTAAAATATTTTGTCATATTTTTTCCTGTATTATATAGCCATGCTTAGTGCTGACAATATGATCTGAAAACACATTTTTACAATAAAAATGTTTTTCTGAAAAGAATATACCCAATACATAACATATGTATGTGTGTGTGTTTATACAATGTATGTGTAACACAGATTACATATACTTTTTTTTTTTTAGACTTTCTTCACAAGTAGCCAGAAGTTTAGGTTAAATATTACTAAGAAAATAAATGTATGTGTCCGTTATGACATATATTCTAATACGTGCACCATATGTGTTCAAGCAAATGTCACTAGAGTGTAAAATAGATGAGGATGGTTGCTAGAGAAAAAGTCTGGGAAGTTAGTCGAGAATAGGTAAGTACAAGATAATTAATAAAAGTAAATATTAATATCAGTCCTCTTGGCAGCATAGAAACACAGAAGATTTGTAAGTAAGAGCAGCTGAAGATTTCTGAGTCAGGGAATATGGAATTGATCTGTCTTTTAGTAACTCCATGGTGGAGATCCTGAAGTGAGAAGAGAATGGAGCCAGGGGAGTAGTCAGAAGATCATTACCAACTGAGAACTGATGCTGGTCTGAATAAGGGTGCTGGATAAACAGATGGAATTAGATTTGAGACATGCTTAGGAAGCAGAATGAATTGACTTTCATAAGTACAATATAAAAAGAGCTATAATAAAGACATATAATATGCCCACATAGGCCAGGCACGGTGGCTCATGCCTGTAATCCTAGCACTTGGGGAGGCCGAGGCAGGAGGATCACCTGAGGTCAGGAGCTCAACATCAGCCTGGTCAACATGGTGAAATCCTGTCTCTACTAAAGATACAGAAAAAATCAGCCAGGCATCGTGGTGCATGTCTGTAGTTCTAGCTACTCAAGAGGCTGAGGCATGAGAATCACTTGAACCCAAGAGGAGGAGGTCTCAGTGAGCTGAGAGCTGAGATCATGCCACTACACTCCAGCCTGGGTGACAGAAGGAGACTCTATCTCCAAGTATGTATATATTCTTTATATTTATTTATATTATATTTATATATATTTATAATATTCTTTATATATATATATTCTTCTCCCTGCCCCACAAATGTGCACATACACATATTAGGAAGAGCTAGTAATTCAGGAGGTGGAGGAACAAAAATAAGCAAAGAAAGAGAAGTGTATGAGAGCATACACAGCCCTAAATTAAAACATCAAATAACTTTGCAAGAACACTAATATTTAGTATTCTAGTGTGACCTCAACACAGTGGAGTAAGTCTCTTTGAATGGTCTTCAAGGAATGTGAAGATGAAGTTTCAAGTGTGTCGAATCAGACATATATTCTGTCAAAAGAATCAACTATGCATTTACGGGTGGGCAAGGTGGCTCACACCTGTAATCACAGCACTTTGGGAGGGCGAGGCGGGCGGATCACCTGAGGTCAGGGGTTCGAGACCAGCCTGACCAACATGGAGAAACCCTGTTTGCCCTAAAAATACAAAATTAGCCGGGCATGGTGGCGCATGCCTGTAATCCTAGCTCCTCGGGAGGCTGAGGCAGGAGAATTGCCTGAACCCGGGAGGCGGAGGTTGTGGTGAGTCGAGATCGCGTCATTGCACTCCAGCCTGGGTAACAAGAACAACACTCTGCCTCAGAAAACAAAAAACAAAAAACTATGCATTTACATAAAGACCTCTGTAGTAGAAACGTGCAATGTTCCTTATTTCTCTGAAAGGTTGATGCTACTGTGTTAGTAACGCTATGATTCCTTTCAAGTAACGATTGCTTTAAAAATACTATTTCCTTTTAGCAGCAATTTTATATGTATCCCTGTTTCATTTTAAGATAGGTGTGTAGACGGCACAGATGGCTTTAAGAGAATCAATTTTGAGATTCTCGGCTCCTTATGTGCTCTTTTCTAAAAAAAGTCAAGCTTCTACTTTCAAAGTCCTATCTCCCGTCTTACAAAAGAAAGGTATATCTTTCTCCAATCTATAATTTTACAATAGTGCATTGCCTTGGAGTATAAAAACATGGTGCCAAGAAAAGAGTCAATTGAACATTTGTGTCAATGTTAAGAGAATAACTTTTGATGAATGATTTTAATTAAACCATATCAGGTAGTTTCCAATTCCTCACTTCTATCAGGTTTGCAGGAGCATATAATCAAATTACCAGCTAATCAATGGTTAAAACTATTCTTTGATGATAGATACCCATGGTTATATTTTGATAAATAATTCAAAAGGAGTTCAAAGAGTTGAGTGATATTTCTGTAATAAACTCCTTTTATCTTTGTCTACTCCTTATGTGAACGAATTTTTTCAGCATTCACATCTATAGAAATTGAATTGATGCTGAAATCCTGCTTCATTATAGCAATACAGAGACAAATGCAATAACTGAAAAAATACATCCAATTAACTATATGTCTTCTAATAAAAACTTTACTTATGTATTTAATTATCTATCAAAATTTGTAATATGTATATGTTCTTCCAATCAATCACTGAAACTAATAATTATTGTAATGTAATGAACACTAACTCCAGAAGAAAATTTTTATTTTCTTTCTGATCACATATACAAATTAATAAATTTTAATATACATGTTTTTGCTGTAGAGAATATGATACAGTATATAATTTAAAAATACTCAAGCATAAAATATCTTTTAAAATATATTAGGATATATTAAAACATATATTAAGATAAAGTTCTAAAGGGAAATTAGCACACTGAATTAAAAGAAAGGAAAATGATTTAAATTTTGACTATAGAACCTGTTCATGTATTTTTTAAATGCATTTTGATAGTTACCTAATTGCTATGGCATTTAGATTAAACTGCATACATTTAAGAGAGGGATATATCAATTCCACTTTTAAATAACAGTATTTGCAACACTGGAAATTCTATCCTTTGCAATTACTTAGACATAAAAGGAAAATTTTAGACATCAACTGAAAAATACACAATAAGGTAGATGATTTTTAAAAATCTGTTCAGAGGCATGTAAGCCAATAGATTTTAAAACTAACTAACTCAGGTACTGAAGGAGAAAATCCTGAGTTTTACTTCTACTAACAATCTTTGTAGTTTAGGTGTAAGATGCAGATAGTTGTCTTAAGGATTTAGGTTTTAGTCATCTAAGAGGATATATGTATTTACAACATAAGAAATCCCAGAAATGATCTGGCAATGTCAAATAGTTCACTTACAGTGATACAAAGTGCAATGTAAGTTTACAACTGACATGCATGGCATCAGCTTCAAAAGATTCCTCTAACAGAATGTTCAGGCTAGAGTATAAAACATATTTCTTTTGTGGCAGATGTATATTATGGAATACTAAGCAGAAGTTAGAAGCAACAAACAAGATATATGTCTACACATTAATATTATTGGATCTTTTTTGGGGCAAGGGGGCCAGGGTCTCACTCTGTCACCCAGGCTGGAGTGTAGTGGCACGATCATGGCTCACTGCAGCTTCGACCTCCTGTGCTCCAGGGATACTCCCACTTCATTCTCCCAAGTCGCTGGGACCACAGGTGTGCAACACCAAACCTGGCTAATTTTTAAATTTTTCATAAAGATGGGGTCTCACTATATTACTCAGCCTGATCTCAAACTCTGGGCTCAAGTGATCCTCCCATCTTGGCCTCCCAGAGTGCTGGAATTGCAGGCATGAGCCCCCTATGAGTGGATCTTAAAAACAGTAAAAAAAATTAAGAAAGGGAACAAGGGCTGGGTTGCCGCCGCCGCCGCTGCCGCCATGGTGCCAGCCCCTCGGATTGACGCGTCATGCCTTACGTGGGAAAGCTGCCATTGTGGAGAAGTTGTCTAGCCTTCCATTCCAGAAAATCCAGCACAGCATCACGGCGCAGGACCATCAGCCCACGCCAGATAGCTGCATCAATCAGCATGGTTGTGGGCCAGCTTAAGGCGGATGAAGACCCCATCATGGGGTTCCACCAGATGTTCCTATTAAAGAACATCGATGATGCTTGGATTTGCACCAATGACATGTTCAGGCTCGCCCTGCACAACTTCGGCTGACCTTCTCTCAGCCAGGCACTCACGCTGTTTCCTCCTCCCTCCTCTTCCCAATACTATTCCCACTCCTCCAAATGCTCCAAATATCATGCACAAATGAGCAGCGCCGCCGCGGGAGTGGGCGCAGTGCGCTGCTGCCACCAAGGTGTTGTGCATGATGTTTGGATGCTAGACTAGTTGCATCTGACGGGAGAAGTTTGTGTTGTACCAGCGCATGCCTTGGAAAGACTTAAGTAATGCAAAAGGCTGTCCTTTTTTTTTTTTTTAATCTACTGACAAGTTGCTCTAGCAACCCAAAGACGTGAAGGAGAAAGCAGCTGCCTCA